CTCCCTCCTAACATGTTGGGATTACAGATGTGAGCCACTGCACCTGGCCCAATTTTAATTTTCTAGAAGAGTCTGTGTAAAATTACTATTTTTTTTCTTAAAAGCTTGGTAGAATTTACCAGTGAAGCTATCTGGCTGGAATTTTCTTTATGAGAATAATTTAATCTACAAATTTATTTCTGTAATAGACGTAGGGTTATTAAGGTTATCAGTTTCTTCTTTAGTGAGCTTCGTGTCTTCCAAGAAAGTTATCCATTTCATCTAAGTTGTAGAAATTGTTGGCATAACAATGTTTTAATATCTACTTACTATCTTTCGATATCTGTAAGATCCATGGTGATTCCTTACATTGGTAATTTCTGTCTTTTCCCCGTTTTTCCTAATCAGTCTACAAACAGGTTTATCAATTTTATTGATTCTTCTCAAATAACCAGCTTTCAGTTTTGTTTGTTCTTTCTAGTAATTTTCTAACCTCCATTCTGTTCTTTATTATTCTCTTTCTCCTACTACTTAATTTGAGTTTAATTTGCCCTTATTTTTCTAGTTTTTTAAGGTAGAAGCTCCATTACAGGCAACAAAAGATTTAACTAGGTGCAAGGTGAGTGGGTGAGTGGTGTCTTGCTCCCAGAATCTCATTTGAGCAATTCATAAACAGTGTGCTTACGACTCCAGGTTATTTGTTTGAAGAGCCAACCTTGGATAGCTGATGTTGCAATTACTCAGATTCGATCGAGGGAAATGCGTTTGCTCAGAAGTGCCGTAAATGAACTTTTATTTTTCTCCATTTGTCATCAATTGATAAAGTCTGAAAGACATTCCATTCTAGTCTCTTATCATGGAGAATTATGGCTTCTATGGCACTTTCTGGAAGTTTAACCTTTGTCACAAGACACAAGCATCTGAGCATATTCTGTTTAGTTAAAGCCTATTTTCTTTCTCTCTTTCTTTTTTTTTTCAGATGGAGTCTCACTCAGCCACCCAGGCTGGAGTGCAGTGGCGCGATCTCGGCTCACTGCAACCACTGCCTCCTGGGTTCAAGCGATTCTCCCATCTCAGTCTCCCAAGTAGCTGGGATTACAGGCACCCGCCATCACGCCCGGCTAATTTTTGTATTTTAGTAGAGACGGGGTTTCACCATGTTGACCAGGCTGGACCTGAGCTCCTGACCTCAGGTGACCCACCCACCTCGGCCTCCCAAAGTGCTAGGATTATAGGCATAAGCCACCGCACCCAGCCTTGAAGCCTATTTTCAAAAGAAACAAAAATGCTTAACAAATAGGGACGACTATAACCAGAAAATGTGTTTCCACCAGAAGAAATCTGTCACCAGCGCCAGTGCTTTATGAGATAATGAGACAGACCCAGGTCTGAAGGCACTTTCCTAAGCACCAGAGGAAGCCCCAATGACATTGCTCAAGGTAAACAGAGGCCTGGACCGATTCCACGTGGGCAGGTGAGGCTGTCCCTCCTCCTGAGGAGCCAAACAGACACAATCAGAACCAGGAATATTCTCTGGGTCTCCCAATTTCCTATCAAAATCACTCTAGCATTCTTCCTTAAAGAGAATGACAAAGCCACAATCTTCTGGCATGTGTTCAGAAAGCTTTTTCAGAAAATCTGTATTCCTAACAAAAGACATCTGAGAAATCTGCTAACTACAAATGGGTACTTCAAAGTCCCTTAGGAACTTAAACGACTTTAAGGACAGGCCATTGGTGAAAATCCTGGCATAGGAACTTAGTAGTGAGACACTCGGAATTGAGGGAGAAAAGCCATCACTGGCCATAATAGTTACAAATAATCAAAACCGGACCACTGTAAAGGCGTTGCTAAGAGATCACACTGTCAGAACAAGGCTTCACGGCGAGAGACCATGCAAATCCAAACACACTTGGAGCAGTGGATGCCCATTTCAGACAAAAGCAATTTAATATAAACTGGACGAGGCTTACATTTCTTCTATATACACTTTTTGGGATTCTGAATTATATATAGCTTCTATAAAGAAAAGATAGGGACAACCACCAGCCGCTTAAAAAAAAAAAAAAAAAAAAAAACTGCTCCAAGTGTAATAATAAAGTTACGCACAAAATACCAAGCAACAGGAAAAAAAGAACATTTCAAATAACCAGCTTTCAGTTTTGTTTTCTCTAGCAATTTTAACGTACTCAGAAGAAGAGATACAAAACCCAGGGCGTAGGACATGGATATTCATTCATATATTCTCACTCTGTCTCTTTCTCTCATAATGGAAAGATTCCAGGTCCAAAGCAGTACAGTAAAATGATTTCAGCCTCACTTCTCTTGAAAAAAGAAAATCCCTCCAAAACAGCCAGGAGAACAAGAAACACAAGCATCATCTTCAATAAAACTAGAAGACACCTGGTTGGGCACACTGGCTCACACCTGTAATCCCAGCACTTTGGGAGGCCGAGGGAGGCAGATCACTTGAGGTTAGGCGTTTGAGACCAGCCTGGCCAACATGGTGAAACCCTGTCTCTACTAAAAATACAAAAGTTAGCCGGGCGCAGTGGCGCACACCTGTAGCCTCAGCTACTCCAGAGGCAGAGGCAAGAGAATCACTTGAACCCGGGAGGCGGAGGTTGCAGTGAGCTGAGATTGCGCCATTGGACTCCAGCTTGGGTGACAGAGTGAGATTCTGTCTAAAAAACAAGACAAGACAAAACAAAAAAAACTAGAAGACACCTATCCCCAGGCCACCATTACAAAGGCAGGGAGCAGATGGAGGGTGGGCGGGGCTTCAGCAGGGACTAGGAAGGTCCCATTCCAGTAGCCAGTGGCAACTGCACCCTCCCAGGTGGTTGACAAGCCACCTGTCTGAGAGTCAGACACAGGCCTAGGGGCCCCAGTCCCATCACAGCTGGCTACTCCTCTTGCCATCCTTGCAGGGGTACGAGGCTTATTCTCTGGGGAAAAGTGAACCAAAGAGGCCAGAACTTGGGGAGGGCCAGCATGGACAGAAGCCAAGGTGAGGACGGACGCCATTCTGACACGTGGCAGGTGGAGGAGTCTCTGGGGAGATTCATGGCTGCTGGAGAAGAGACCAACAGGTCCAGACTTCTGGGCATCGCCAGGCTGCCTCGCGGCGAGACCTACCTGTCCCTGAGCCCCAGCAGTCACACAGGACTTCCTGGTCATTTTGAGGGCCTCACACTTGAAAGATTATCTGATGTTTGCGTAAAATCTCCAACATGGAAAAAAAATTACACCAGAGGACTCAGAGGAAACAGAAACAGTGACTGCAGGGAGGGAATCACCCTTCAAGGAAACTGTAATGAATGTTCACAGGAAGAGAGGAATCATCCCAGAAACGGGAAGGGACTGACTGAAAGGGAAGAAACGGAGAGAAACCAGATAACAAGGAAAAAGCCCTTTTAGAAATTTAAAAAAAAATAGCCAAAGTAGAGTCAAAATAAAAAATGTTACTAGAAAACTTGGAAGATAAAGTCAAGGAAATGTCTTTAAAAAGGAGAAGAAAGGTACAAGTGGAAAGGTCAGCAAATGAGAGACAACCCAGGAGGCCTGGCAGCCACAGGGGCAGGGGGCGCAGCCAGGGAGGGGCAGCCCACCAGCCAACAACCGCCAGTTACCAGCCGCTCTGGAGCTCCGTTTCCTAATCTGAAAATGGGGGCAATCCTGTCACAACCTCCCTCATAGGGTGGTGAGGAGAGTTAAATCCATTATTATGGGCAATGTCCTTAGAACAGTGCCTGGCATACAGTATGGCATACAATACAATAGATATTATCTCTGATTAGTCTTTTTTTTTTTTTTTTTTTTTGAGAGGGAGTCTCGCTCTGTCGCCCAGGCTGGAGTGCAGTGGCCAGATCTCAGCTCACTGCAAGCTCCGCCTCCCGGGTTCACGCCATTCTCCTGCCTCAGCCTCCCAAGTAGCTGGGACTACAGGCGCCCGCCACCTCGCCTGGCTAGTTTTCTGTATTTTTTAGTAGAGACGGGGTTTCACCGTGTCGGCCAGGATGGTCTCGATCTCCTGACCTCGTGATCCGCCCGTCTCGGCCTCCCAAAGTGCTGGGATTATCTCTGATTAGTCTTAATCAGATTTCTAAAAAATGAGAATAGAGAAAATACTAGAGAGGAAATTATCAAGAAAATAAAGGATATAGAGGGTATTTTCAACAAAGGTACAAGCACTCTTGTGATGGGGATGGAATGTATTTATGTATGTCGGCATGCCCCCTAGTTAAGAATGGCACGGGTATGTGTGTGTATGTATGTGATTTGTTATCTATGGCCATGGTAAACCTCAGTGACTGGCTCGAGTCAACCTGGCCCAGGCCTGCTGGTACAGCTGTGCCTGCTCTGGGCAGGGCAGGCAGCTTGCTGGCCCTGGCTGGGCTCTCTTCAGTGTTTGAGGTTGGCTGGCTGTGGATATAGGTCCGGGATGGCCTAGGCAGGGTCAGCTGAGTTCTCCCCCATTTGTGTGACCTGCACCCAAGCCCTAGGGTCTCCTTGGGGGTAGACACAGGGCCTGAGAGAGTGCAGAAAAGTGCAAGCCTTTCCAAGGCCTGGGTTAGGAGCTGACACTGGTCACTTCTGCCACAGCCCATTGGCCAAAACAAGTCATAGCGTAGATTCAAGAAGTGAGGAAGAAGACTCCTACCTCTTGATGGAGGCACTACAAGGTCACTTTGCCAGGGGCATGGGAGGGTTGGAGAATGGGGGCCACTTCTGTCATCTACTCCAACCCTTCTCCACTCTGTTTTGTGTCCTGGGAGGCTGACCTCTATACCTAGTATCCCAGGGCTGCCTCCCAGCACAGGCCTTGGAGCCATTCGCTTAGACTACAGTGTGAATGGTTCTCCCAAGACTGTGCAGTACACAGCTTACACAACCACATGCAGGTGCCCTCAGTGAAGCCATCTGCAAAAGGAGGCGTGTGGGCTGGATGACTCTACATTCCTTCATCCTGAGAACTCACAAATACTTTATACCCAAGATCCTAGCATTTCTCTTCTGACCTGCCTGAAGAGGTGGTGTGGCTGGCATCCATGCGTGTACTTCCATGCGTGTGATGTGGGTCACTAGCATGCACATAATAGGAACCTGGCAAAGCGGCTGATTAAATGAATTCACATACATGTGTTTGAAACACATTGTACACACATTCCATTTCAGTTCCCCTCACCCCCTCGAGACCCCAGCAAACATGACACCATCCTGCCAAAACGGGGTTAAGAACCACCAGTCTGGTTCACCAAACCTCAAAAGTTCAAAGCTAAAGTTAGAAATATAAAAACCTCAGGAGATTAATTCTCCTAACCTAACTTGACAGAACTGATAGAGGAGGGAGAAGTCAGAAGCTGTGGGCCCAGGGGCAGCCCCAAAGCCGTCTCTGCAGACACCGGGTGGCGCGGGCTGGCCCTTACTTCCCATCTGTGCCTCCCGGCCCTGCTGATGCATGAAACTTTATACAAGCGAAACCTGAGTCCACCCGCTCAGCCCTCCGGCTCCCCAGCCAGCAGCTGTGTGCATTCAGCAGCTGTGCCCAGATCTGGCGCTGACCAGAGTGCCCTGGAAGCCATATTCGGTGGGCCCACCAACCCAGACAATGGCGGTCTGTCCAGAGTGGGATGCAGAGGCTGCCAGCCCCCGAAAGTTGTAAGAGCCTGCCCTGTTGTGAGAATTAACCAGTGTTCCTGGATGTGGGTGGCTCCGAGGTTCAAATCTTGGTTTAGAGTCTTCTGGACATGATGGGGAAGGTTTTCAGTGTCAATCAATAAAACAGTAACCACTGAGTACTGAGGAATTACTTTGTGACCAGCACATCTACTCATTTACCCTGCTGACGACCTCACTGCCCCCACCAGTGGATATCACTCATCTCATTTTTAGGAGGAAGAAACTAGGTTAGACAAGCGCCGGAAGTCACAGAGCAAATGGCTGCAGGAACAAAGCCAGGTGTGCCTGACTCTGAAGCACACAGAGGACCAGGTCTCCCAGTGTCTTCGGGCAGGGACCCGCGGGTTCGGGGGACGCCAATCCTCCCAGCCCCCGGCGATGCATGTGGTAGAGCTGCGTGCCCAGAGGGATGATGTGCCTCTGCCACCTCCCGCGTGCAGTGAGAGACGTGTGGGCGTCAAGCCCACACAAGACTCCAATCCAAACGGCTAAAATCCACCCTACACTAGAACAAACAGCTCTGCCCCCACCCACCTCACAGCCCCCATCGCCTCCACTTTTTATATTTTAGAGTGATCAGTGGCCTCTAAAGGGAGATTCGTCAGTGTGTACGTAGTACTTGAATTTTAAGAGTGTGTGTGGTGTAGATGCACACGTTGTTTGAAATCTTGGACTAAGTGGAAATCTGGTAAGCCCTACAGAGGGAAGCCCAGGAACTACACTGAGTTACCGGACGGCACAGGAGCACTGAGCTCACTACAGTGAGTTACCAGACGGCACAGGAGCACTGAGCTCACTACAGTGAGTTACCGGACGGCACAGGAGCACTGAGCTCACTACAGTGAGTTACCGGACGGCACAGGAGCA